TTCCTTGCCCCATAATCCTTTCTCTGTACATAAGGCACAGCCTAGAAACATGTGATGGTCAGTCTATCACAATCAAGCAAGACATGAATTAGCCCCTCTCCGCATGCTCAGCCCACATTTTGCTTTTTTCAGGGAATTTTTATATATCATATATCAAGGTCACACAGCTGTAGTCGTCACCATGGGATCCTGCAGTGGCTGCACACAGCGGAGAGTCTAAGGAGACAGGGGCAGGGAGCTGCCTTCACAGATCCTGGACTTTTTCTTACTACAGTCCTGATCGTTCCAGTTCTTCAGGCCGATTGCCTTATCAGCAGAAGCCAAACAGGCCGTATTGTTTTGGAAATTACCAGGCTGATTTTGGATCCAGTACCTGAAACACAGCAGTAAGACGGTTACGGCGTATAAACACTCACACAGCCCATCAGCGTCACAGAGGAAAGGCTGAGACACTGTTAGTGCTACATTTCCCTCAGTCCAGCCGATAGAGGACACTGCTAGTGCCATTGCTATTCATCACCTGTCCGAAATGTCAGGATCAGGGTGTGTTCAGACAGGGGTAAGTCAACGACAGCACCTTCCACTGCTCTTACCATTCAATGGGTTGAGTGCCGTCCACCCAGATCCAGGTCCCCTTTCCAGCTGCATCACTCAGTCCCATCCAGTATTCCCGTCTTTTCATGTGTTTTGTGACAAACTCCTGAGCACAAGACAGAATCACACATCTTGGCCACAAATAAAGAGGCAGAATCCAAAGAGGTATCCTGGATCATTCAGCCACTAGCAACCAAATGGTGGTTCTAACACTACTTACTGTGTACCATATGAATACAACCAGCTGAAAGGGCTCCTTTGGGCTGTATCCAAGGAGAAGCAGGTTTTTCTGCTCTCTCCTGCTGAACATTCACTCTACAAGCCTACAGGTTCTGTGCCTCTTCACTAAAATTAAGAAAAGGTCCTGAGCTACAGCTCAAATGGCCATACTGTTTGCGGCTTTCACTCAGTCAGTGACGTTCACCATTGTGAACTTCAACAATACCGTCATGTTGTAAAGGGTCACATTAGATTTCAGGATATGACCACATAAACGGAGGGGGGTCGTGCCACTTTTTAATGTTATAGGAGTGGAGTTTTCCCTATCCAGAAAGCAGTATAATTAGCATAATAACTGGCAGACAAAAATCTTTATGAGAGCAAGATTAAGATCCAGGGTCTCCAATTTGTTTGAGAATGATGACTCGTTGTCTTTCCATTCCTTTTTTAATTGTTTTTATTTTGTTCCACAAATGTTGTTTTGGTCCCTGTGAGTAGTTAGTGTAGCAGTTTAAGAACACACAACCTCCTACCTGTTCCCCTCTGCTGTCTATAGCCACCAGGTCAGCTCCCTGCTTCCTGCAGGCAGTACGACTGTCATTCCAGTTCAGTTTATCAGTAGAGAAGTAGTAACACTTGTGGCTGAAGAGCTCCCAGCCCCAAGGACAAGGTCTACACTCTTTCACTGCAGAGTAAGAACAGACAGCAGCTCATATCAGTACAGTTCTCTCTCCAGCACGGTGCATCAGCCCAACACATTTCTTCACTGTAGAAGAGTCACAGATTAAGCGTTCTTCAGAAAATCAATGCAACTGTATGGTTATATTTCATCTTTTTTCTAGTATTTAATTTTTGCAAATCATTCACAATATCAAGATGGTACATATTTGAGTTAAATCACATTGTAATTAGTAGCATAGTCCCTGACTTATCTTGTTTCCCTGTGACTGACACAGTCCTCAGGTGAGAACAGGCCTCATCAAGAAGCACTGCCCTCATGTTACAGTTTCTTTATAAACAGTGTCTCCTCCCTGTAATAACCTGAGACACACATACTATCAAACCCCTGTGCCAAGGCGGAATAACAGCTGATATCTGTTTGTAATATCTGATATCTGAAACTGAGGTTTTAGTTGAGGTCGCCTGTGATTTCAAAAGATGGAACAACAGAGTAAGAGAAGGAAGGACAGAACCTTATGCTGCTTATTTTACTGTAATCAGCTGCTGCTGACAGATACTGCTCATAATGAAGACTCTAGCTGACATTTCAAATACATCAAAACGTTACACTGAAACAGAGGACACTTCAAACTTAGTGCAAATCAAACAATGCACAAGTAAAGCTTCAAATTATTCTCATGAATTCAGTAAGTAATACAGAAAACAACTTTATTAACAGTGGAAAATACTGTACCCAAAAGCCCTCTTTTAAAATGCTGAACTTCAGGTAACAGTACATTCAACTGCACATTTCCTTCCATTGTATTTCCAAAAATCTCATTTTTAAGAAGTCCTTCATGGTCAGCTTTTCTTTCCTGCAGTACAATCGGCAGGATTTATGTGAAAGTGTGATCCAGGAGTGGAGAGCCCATTTGAGTCAGGGAGTTGCCCAGAGCTGCGTGTGACAGGGACAGGAGGGGGCAGGGATCACGCATGCTGCAGCTGTGGAACAGACGGCTTGCAGGCTCGTGAGCCGAGTACCACACACAGAGAATTTAGGGCTGCAACTGGCCAGGGACCTGGAGTGTGGCAAATAATCCTGGGGAGTCAAGACAGAGGTCCCAAATGCAAATGCAAATGAACAATAAAATTAATAATAATAATAACAATAATAATAATAATAATAATAATAATAATTATGAAGTGCTTTACAGATAATGGTACCAATGTGTTGCCCCCACCTGGATGATGCAACGGCAGCCATTATACACCAGTCCACTCACCACACATCAGCTCTCAGTGGGGAGGAGAACAGAGTGATGAAGCCAGTTCAGAGATGGGGATTATTAGGAGGCCATGATTGGTAAAGGCTGATGGGATTTTTTTTTCCCCCCAGGACACTGGGGAACACCCCTACTCTTTTCTAGAAACGCCCTGGGATTTTTAATGGCCACAGAAAGTCAGGCCCTTGGATTTATATCTCATCTGAAGGCTGGCGCCTCTCCCCAGTATAGTATTCCCATCATTAGGGACATTAGGACTCACAACAGAATTCAGGATGACCACTCCCTACTGGCCCCGCTAACACCTCTTCCAGCAGCAACCTTAGTTTTTCCCAGGAGGTCTCGCATCCATGTACTGGCCAGGCTCACACCTGCTGAGCTTCAGTGGGGAGGCCAGCTGTGAGATGCATGATGATGTAGCTGCTGGCATATGAGAACATCCTCCTCTCTCCTCCTAAACTCCCTCCTACAAAACTCCATGCTCTGCTCCCTGCTCTGAAACGCTCTCCTCTGTCCTGCAAGACGCCTTCCTTTCTCCTCCAAACACCTTGGGGTCTGTTGAGCACAGTGCATGGAGGTCTGTAGGACAGAGGAGGGATGAGGATGTTCTAATGTGGACACTGCATGACATAGCCCTGAGCCCTGAGTATTTACAGTATACCGAGGAACACCTGAAACTTGTGTGGTTGTAACCGAATCTCCAGCTGGATTAGATTCAGGCAGCAGCTAGAGATGGCAGCCAGGTAAAGTGAAGGGCAAATCCACCGGTTACAAAATAAAATATTCCATATTGAAAAGATTCGTTTGGAAGGTTTGTACAAATGTCTGTAGGTAAAGCTAATAAAAGTAATAAAGGACGTTGACTATTCCAGCACAACCAGGATTTGACCTTGTCAACTAGTTTGGAATCATTTAAACACCTATAGATGGTTTGATACAAACAGGGTTATTTAAGAAGTTGTGAAGAGCAATGTGTTCCCGATACACTGTTTCTCAGTTACTTTACAGCCTGACCATGAAAAGACAACTAGGAATGGGATTAATGGTGTCAGCTCACCCAGTGTTTTTTGGTCTGTGATAGAGCAGTACTGATCCACAGGAAAGTGCCTTCTCAGCTCAGTGATCACAGACCAGAGTTTTCTTGTGTCTTTCTGCAGCTCCTCTTTGACTACAATCAGGTTGCTGTAGCCTGCAGACAGGTTTCTATAGTCCACCTGTAGCTTGTCATGGGCTGCAGTCAGGTTCCTGAAATCCTTTAGTAACCTTTCATTGGCTCCAGTCAGGTTCCTGATGTCCTCCTGTAACTTGTCTTTGGGTGCAGTCAGATTGCTGTAGTTCATTCTCAATTGATCCTGGCCCTTCAGCTCACCATTATCTGTAAAGATAAATATTCAGTTATTGCAATGTCTCAAAACACAAATGTCATCTCCTATACTTCCCTCTTGGAGCATCTTGATTAATGAGACAGGAGCTGTCAGCTTACAAGCCTAAATCATCCAGTATCCCAATCGCTTCTCATCAGCTTTTGTATATCAGAGCTGTACTTGTTTTCATTGACCAATTACTGAATATGAATAGTAGTGAACAGTGAAAGTAGTGAAAGGAATCAAAGTTAATTTTGAGGGCCTACCTCATTCTCCCTACTGTTCTGTTTTGTAGAACCGCTGATGTCATTAACATATTAAGATAAGATGAGATAAGATCACTTTATTAGCCATATACAATTTCTTGCATTAGAAATTTGTCTTTTCGCATACCCCTGCTTGCTCTCCATGAGACACCAAGACAGGGAGAGAGAAGTTAGGGGTCAGAGTGCAGGGTCAGCCATTTATACAGCGCCCCTGGAGCAGCTGGGGTTAAGGGCCTTGCTCAGGGGCCCAACGGAGTAGGATTCCTCTGCTGGCCGTGGAATTTGAAACGGCAACCTTCCAGCCACAGGTGCAAATCCTTAGCCACAGTGCCACCACTCTGCCCTGATTATCATTATCAATACATTATAATTTGACATCAGAGAGAAACCCACACAACACTTCAGTCTATGACTCCAGAATATATAAGGAACACATTTAGGAACCCACTGTAAAGGATCACTACACATCAAAACTAGAATTAGTCATATTGCAAGCTAAACACATGCTGTTACACTTACAGGAGAAAAACAGGGCTATGACGACAATCACTAAGACAGGACAAAGGAACCCCAGACACACTGCAGCCAGTCTATAGGGAAGAGGGATGGGTGGAGCTTTCACTGTGGACACAAAAACAAGAGAAATGCTATCTGGTCATAAGTGGAGATCCATAAGGTTCAGTGTTGGAAACATTAGGGTTTCCTTATAGAAATGATAGAGTACCACCATCAAATCTAATATATTTTCCCATGATGAAATGCAACATGACAATGCTAAGGTGATCTGCCCAAACCTGGATACAGCTCTGTTAGATCAGCTACAAAGTCACGTACTATAAAATAATCAAGATCACATGGGATAACTCTTAAAAAAAGTCATTTCTTCTGAAAGCCTAGTGCATAATGTCAAAATTGGGATTGATAGTATCCAAAACTACATGAAATGTGGACCCAGTAAAATGAGACAGATCATTGATCGGATCATTGTGCAACTTGCTACTGTATTGCCATCACAGTGTAGGTCTTTCCCTCACTGCCTAGATCATAGCAGCACAGCTCATTCACACTTCATTACTACTGCATGATAACACTTACTGTATTACTTAACAGGGGAAAAGTACCTTTTGGGTTTATTCTAAGTGTTGAAGGAGCTGTACTACAGCATGACATTAAAATAAAATACCAATGAAGTACTGCAGAATTCAAATTAGATCACAATAATCCAATATCAATAATCTACTGTGATGGAGCCACACCCACCTCACAGCTCTGTGTCTGATCAAGACAATTTCATATGCATTGGAAGAAAAAAAGACCCATGACTGACCTGGTGGTCTGGGAGGAGGTGCTATCTGGGCTGAGGGAGATCTTCCCATCTTCACCTCTTCATAGGTTGCTTCATCCTGTTTCACTAACCCAGAGAGACCTAGGGATTTAACACACGTATCATTTCTGAAGAACATGAATACAATATAGGCTCATAAATAGGAATACCTTAAAAGGCCTTTCATTTGCACAGCATTACTATTTTTAACCCCAGTAGATGCTGAAACGTCAGTTCTTACATTGACAGCCTTGAGATTACAGTAATCTAACCTTCCTTGTGCTAATTCCCAAACAATACTTCAGGAACTATAACTATTGAATTTAATAAACTGGGTGAGCCACACAAAGCTTTAAATGGCACAGTTCCTTCTTATATTATTGATTTATTAGATGACTATTGTGGTGATTTGCTGACTTGACTTTGTCTGGGTGCTTCTACAGTCATGCCCAGATTTTCAAATTCCCTGCCAAATACTACAAGGAATTCCAAATCGCCAGTGAAGCTCAAAAGCTCATTTATAGACCCACTTGAGCTTAGATTGCACCTCAATTTGAAAATGTAAGATTCTTATTATAGATATTAGCTGCAAGTTGACTCTTTTGTTGCAGAAGACAATGCTTAAGAGCCAAGATAAGAGGAACACTGATATCATGGGCAAAAACCATTGTTCACTTCCTGTAAAAACTCCTTCTCTGGCTGGGCAGTAAGAGTAAAATTATCTTGCTGAGGAAGACTGAACTCTCTCCACAGACAGAGCACTAGGGTGGAAGATGAGGAAGGCAACAAGAAAGATCAGATCAGAACTTGATCAGACATGGACACTACCAATCTGTCTAGGACCTTTAACAACATTGTCCTTTGTTGTTAGATAGAAAAATGTGATGTTTACTACACTGCAGTGTTTCCCCTGTGGTCAGTCACCATAGTAACCTGCACACTTCTTTGAGAAACCACACAGTGACCACAAGTGTTTCAAAATACTGTATACTACGCAAATTTGAAAATTACTAAGCACAATAGTTGCAAAGCTCCAAAAAACAAACTTGAAAACATACCTGGGTAAAAATGCAGTTAGCAGGTTATTATTAAAAAAGCTAACAATAAAACTGCAAAATTCAAATTGGGTTGCATTAATACAATATTGATATGTACTGTAAGGGAGTCACACCCACCTCTGCTTGTCTATCAAGGAAACAGTTTCTATTTCATTGTAAGAAAAAGACTTATGACTGACCTGGTGCTCCAGGATGAGGTGCTGTCTGGGCTGTTGGAGATCTTGCCATCTTCACCTCTGCATAGGTCACCTCATCCTGTTTCACTGACAGGGACAGGGCTCCAGTAATTTATCACACATATTCATATCATTTCTGGAGTGCAAGAGGACTGCACTGAGGAAGCTCTTCAGACTGGGTTTATTGCAATATAATGATAGCTTCATCAAGCCAAGATCCATCAAGCCACGATTTTTCCAGGATCGCATTGTACGAATGTGCTTTTCCATCAACATATAATGTATTGGAGCCATTTCTGTCCAGATCTCCACAGCAGCCGAAGACAGAAACAGCTCCTGTCAGTTCACTGGATGCCCTACTAAACCCAGTTGATTCTAGAGGCCTCCTTCTTTTTCATGAGCTGTATTAGCAATGTTTCTACAGTAATTTCATCAAAGGGTTAACCCTGCAGTCTTTATAAATTCCATTCTGGACTTAGAATTATTGGTATGTGGTGAGCCGCATGGCTTTGTTTTACTACTTTTATGATTAAACATACTGTATGCTTATTGCAGAAACTGTCCACACAGGCACGTGTGTCAGGCTTCAAATTACCCTCAAAGGCCTTTTCGTTGGCACGGTATGACCATTTCTGACCTTAGCAGATGCTGAAAGGACAGTTTCTGCAACGATCACTTCAAGACTACTGTACATGATGGCTGCAGTTTGAGTAACTAGAAAGTAATCAAACATTTCTTTCTGGTGTTCTCCCAACAATACATCAAGGAGGATCCCCATGTAAGAATGTAGTCAATTATGTTATGGCACAATCTTATATTATGCTTCTGTCACTGATTATCTATCACATTTACTGTAAATTTGAAATTTGATTTTTACATTCCTGATTTGTTTCCTGCTTTCTGCTTGCAGTTTTCACTCCTGTGAGGCTGACTTAATGGCTCGACCAAACTTTGCTTTGCTCTGATAGCGCTGTCATGGATTTGGTTTGGACATCATCAAACACCTGTAAGAATTAGCTTCGATTGTGAAGATAATTGTTTGGACTTTTAAAACAGTTGGCCAGTGTTACACTGAACTACAAGCGAACATTCCTCTACCGTGGAAACTCATCTAGTAACAAAGTTCCACTGCAACTGAAAGATCAGATTAAAAAATGAGAATCTGGCAATGGTTTGGTTCAGGCTGGACAATGTCTTTGCCAACACTGAACAGATGGTGGCAACCAGCACTGATATGGCAAGACTGACATGACTTCTTCAGTTTGCCAAGTAATAGTAATCGAGAGCTTATCCCATTCATGTAGGGTGCAAGTGGGATGAGCAAGTCACAGGTTGACTTTAGGAGATTGGAGGAAACTAGATAAGACTGTACAGCTCATGAACACTGAAGGAAAGAGAAAAGATAATACAATACTTCAGCACGTGAGCACTGCCAGAGACTTTAAAAGGATAATACAAATCCTGCAGCATATTAACACTTCTCAGCAAGAGGATAATGCAGATTCTAATGCATGTGAAAACTGACGAGAGAGAGGATAATACAAACCCCTAACAAAGCACACAGGGAAGGCACTATAGACCATACAGAGAAAAGAGATGAACAAACAGTGACTGGACACTTCAAGAGAGTGACACTGCACCGAGACTCACCGGATAGTCCAGGACTGCGACTTTTAGAAACTATTACATTAGAATAGCAAACTTCCTCCGCCATTAAGACTGATTGAGACACAAGCACCGGTAGCAGGACCGAACACACTGAAACTCTCTTTCTCAGTGGTCAGATAGGACGGATTGAAAGGTTCACACAGATGTAGGAACAGGAAGAGAGAAAGAGTATTCTGTCTTTCTGGTTTACACACAGTAATACCCTTTTCCTTTCTACTTTTCCTCTCTGCTTCTCCTTTTCAGCAAGATGTGAAACAGCAAAGAGATAATGGCATCTGAGCACAATCCCGATACCTGAGTACATATACAAAAGACAGTTCCAGTAATATATACACCTATAACATGTTTTGGCCCTACAAAACAGCTCAGGTGGGTTAAAATTCAGAAACACTTCCCAAAGACTTCTATCTCCATCCTGCTCCCTGCTTTGTTGCAATATGTTGCTTTACAGCTTGGTTCAACACTTGTTCCACAGTTGAACAGTCTTTCAGTATTTTTTTTTAATCTTGCTTTTTTATACACACTTTTGGATGTTTATAATCTTTGTGTCTTAAAGCTTGGTAATTGTTTTAGACCTTTGAGAAGTCATTTCTGACAGCAGCAGATAAGAATGTCTGTGAGCAGGGGAGAGTATCGGGGCTAGATTTTGGTGTCCGTAGGCCCTAGGCACTTTCACTCCAAAATGTGCAAAAAGAGGTGTAAAATGACATCGATGGACATGATCCATATTAAACTATTCGAATGCTAAGCCACGTGATTGATGGAGCGAGTCGAGCACCCTTCACTTCAATACTTCTTGTTTCTAGAACAGCCGCTAGAGAGTGTACGATTATTGATTTGGAGCAGCTAGAGTCAATCGCAAGCGTGTTGTTTCAGCTCATTTTTTCATTAGTCACTAGTGTTTCCCTCTTTTGTAGGCCCTTAAAATTTCATAGACCCCAGGCACTGTGCCTGCAGTGCCGAATGGGAAATCCGGCTGGACCCTCAACGTACGACCGGCCCTAGGCGTAGGTGATCTAGAGCCCCAAGGCTACCAGCCCCCTCAATGTGCAACACAACACATTTGTAATAGTACTGTTTATAAATTCCTTATGTACTTAATTCCTGTTTAGAATGTCTTTTTTATTAAAGTTTCCCATCTTGCCAGCCTTCTTGATCTCACCTCCCTTGTTACTGAGTGCACTTGGTTTTTCTCTTCTTACTTAATTTCATATCTCTTTCTGCAATTCCTTTCTGCACAGGTTTCAACGCAGTAACTTGTAAGTGTAGGATTTGCTACGCTGTGAAAGTAACAGAGCTCCTGTTTATCATTATGCATTGCTAGTAAAGCTCCTTTTTATTACTTTCAAGGTTAAAATGCCATCTTTTGTATGACCCGGGTTCTTGTTCTTAAGTTGAATTCTTCCAAGCTGGTTAATAAACGTTTTCTAGTTAGATCATTCTTATATTTCGTTGTTCTAAGTAGTAAAAGACGTTTGGGGTGGGAGCTGATAATCGTGTTTTGGAGGGACCCCTTTTCATGGTGTGGCCCAGGGTCCCCAAAGACTGAAGTGAAAGTGAGAAACTGAATCTTGTGGTGAGACTCTGACTGAAAGGTCTGCTCCGGCAGGAGATTATGTAAGAATGAAAGCCCCTCAGGGGGATTTAGTGCAACAGACAGCTTGTTCTAGGAGTGGGCGAAAGCTCAGCTGTGTGAACCGGGTCTCAAGGGGCGACTAGAACAGACTTGTAGTGCTTCTTATGGGGCTCGTGTACAGACTCCTGGTTAACACAGTCATGCTGTGAGACTTAGTGTATTTGCTGAAGGTTTAAGTTTCAGGGACGGTCGTCTAGGAGAAAAGAGATAATAACCAAACCTTTCCAGTACTTTTACCTTAAGCATGGAGGGATGTTATTTACATAACTAACATAAGCCACATCTGTGTAGAAACTTTTACTTTCAAAATAGTTGGTGTGAGCACATTGTTCCAGTATTTTGAACAATATTTTTCTCTTCCTTAAAGCTCTCACAATATAAAACATGGCATATATCTGAGTTAAATCACATTTTAATCAGCATCTCAGCCTCTGCCTTGTCTAATTACCTGCGATTGAAAAAGCCCTCAGCCCTTTGTCAAAGGTTTATACTTGGTCATATCTGGACTAAGGCTGTAGTTCAGTTTCCTGTTGTTTCTAAAGGGTAAATAAAAGAATAAAACACGAGGATCAGAACTGCAGATATCAAACGTTCTCTCACTGGAATACTGAGGAGCGAGCTAGTGTTTGCAATAACAGCTGGCAAACCTCTAATCACCTGTCATTCAATGCTGGCTGCCACTAAAACATGTTCTGGCAGGAAACCATTATCACTTGTGGACAATCAACACCCACCTCAGGTGGTGCAGAACACTTAAGATCTTCACGTGCAATAGTTTGGGCTCTGGTACAGAGTTTAGATCTGACTCCCTAGCTCTGTTCCCATGTCCCTTTGTGTTTCTCTTCGTTGCTTCCTGAATACTCAACCCTGCCTTTACCATGACCACTTCTCTGCTTTGCCCCTTGGTGCTTTGGATCTGTGCATCTCCCCTGTTATGAACTTTGACTGCTTGTCTCAATTACGATCCCGGAATTCCCTTTGTGCTTTCACTGTCTCTCTGGTTTTGAACCACATTTGCATCTGACCATGATCCCGGACTGTGTTGCCTGCATCACACCGGCCTGCTTCTACACCACGATGTGTGCAGCTGTCCCTCCCCGTTTCAGCTGTCTCTCGTCCAGCACAATGGTTCACTTAGAATCTCGTAGATCTGCTGCTTCACCTTAAGTAGCAGATTATTACTCCAGAGACACACAGCTAATGTTGCTTGGTTTACTGGTATGACTACAATGACAGATTATTTTGAAAAGGACAACAAATAATAAATCACACTGAAAAAAGACAGTTCAGTTTTTCAAATTACATGTATTACATTGTATTACAGTATGAATGTTTCATAATGAGGATGATATTCATAATGTGGTTTCCTTTATGTGTACAAAAGCAGTGTCATTAGCCTTGATGAGGGAGTGTGGGTGTCAGGGCAGGTGTGTCAGTGACACAGACAGGTCACTCAGCTGTAGTCGTCACCATGGGAAGCTGCACACAGTGGAGAGTCTAAGGAGACAGGGGCAGGGAGCTGCCTTCACAGATCCAGAGCATTTTCTTGGCACATTTCACGTCATTCCAGTTATTTAGTGTACCACTACGTGCACTAGTAGCTCCACAGTCCTCGTTAAAAAAATTATCGGGTTGACTGCTTGCCCAGTACCTGAAACACAACAGTTTGATCTTTACATAAACACTCTCATGGCCCAACAGCTTTTTAAAGGAAAGAATTCCCGGAATAATTGCTAGTTTTTACTTAGTACAACAGATTAGATAGATAGATACTGTAGACAGACAGACAGACAGACAGACAGACAGACAGACAGACAGACAGACAGACAGACAGACAGACAGACAGACAGACAGACAGACAGACAATACTTTATTAATCCCGTAGGGAAATTGATGATAGAGAATGCTGGTAGTGCCATCACTGTCCTACATGTGTCAGAATCAATGTCTGCTGTTCAAAGCAGCATCGTCACCTGGTCAGACATGTCTGGTGGCCTTGTGCGTGTCTCCAATTTGTTTGGCAAGACTTAGGCCAATACCAGTACCTTCCAGTGCTCTTACCCTTCAGTCAGTCGAGTGTTGTCCACCCAGATCCAGGTCTTCTCTGCAGCTGCATCACTGATTCCCAGCCAGTGTTCACGTCCTTGAGTGTGCTTGTAGATGAACACCTGAGCAAAAATCACAGAATGCAACACCTGTGCTCTTCCTGTTAATCAAGCGTTCTCAAACAAAGCCTCAGAGTCCAATGAAACAAATTCTGGATCAATGAGCTACAAGTCGTCAAATGAATAACACCACAGAAGTCTGTCATACATCCTCTGAGGCCTTATTGAGCAAGGCATTGAAGCTGGCTTCGCCTCTTCTCCCTGTCCTATGTTGGTTACCATGGTAATATAATCAGACTCCTGTATTACTGGGGTGATACACGCCTGCCACAGGTGGTTCAGGTTACTTAAGGTCTGCTTAGATTGTGCTATGATTATGATATAGAATTTGCTTGGAGCCTCTCCAGTGCTTAGTTCCCTAGTTCCTGTGTTTTCAACCCTGTACTTCCCTTGGTTTCCTGACTTAGCTTTGTTCTTTATTTTCCTAATGCACTGCATCAGGCTACTGATTTGGCTTGTTTCTGGATTTAGACTTGGATTTCCTCGGTTCTGTCTTGGTTTCGGGCTCGGTTTTGTCTCTGATTCTGCCCTCAGATGGTGTGCTTCCCTCTCCATTTCCCTTTGCTTGCTGAACACACTGCGCTGGCCACTCAAATCATGCCTGCCTCAGGTGGTTCAGGTTACTTAAGGTCTGCTTAATCAGCTTGCTCAGTCTCTACCGCTCAGCCTGGTTACTCATCTGCTCTGGGGATCACCTCTCAATATCAACGTAATGACATCTCAAGCAGCAGTCATAACTGAATGGGCTCCTTTGGGGTGTAACTTGACGTCCTGGATGAGGAGCAGGGTAGTCTGCTCTGTAATGCTGGTCATTCATTCCACAAGCCTGCGTGTGGTTCCATTCAACAAAAAAGTCTTATAAGACCAGCTGTTGTATGATGCAAAACCACAGGTCAAACTGCAAGAATTTTCAGCATTTCAGAATTTTTTAACCGGGTAGTAATATTCTCAATCATGAGCACCAACATTACTGTGATGTTAAATGGAATCACTTTTTTTTTTGGTGTTTCTGATGTATAAGTGTTCTGTATATTTCTTTGGTTTTGTAACATTATGATTTTAGATTCACATTGAGAAAATACAGTTAACGTAGTGGGAAGAAAAAAATAAGGTCTTTGGATTCCAATTTGTTTCAAACTTTTGGCTCACCATCTGTTTAGGTCTATTCTTTGTTTGTTCTTTGTAACTATTAATATTTTTGTGTTTTTTTTGGTGTATACTTTAAGATAGGACTACTGAAGACTAGTGTTACCTGTTCCTCTCTGCTGTTTATAATCACCAGATCAGCTCCCAGATGCAGCTTCCTGCATGCAGTGCGACTCTCAGTCCAACTCAGTTCATCAGTAGAGAAGAAGTAACACTTGGAGTTGAAGAGCTCCCAGCCTTGAGGGCAAAATCGACACTCTTCATCTGTATAGTAAAAGCAGACAACAACTCATATCAGTACAGCACTCTCTCCAGCACAGTGCATCAACCCATCACACCTCTTCACTGCCGTAGAGTTTGAGATTGGGCTGTCCACTTTGTTTAAGAAGAATTTGAAAAAGATGGTCAGATAGATTTATTTAGAAAGTGAATTTATTTATGGATTTCTCTATTGGTTTTCAAAGTTCAAGCACAGTCAGATCACCCAACATCCTAATGATACAATTAAAGAATGATATAAAGACATGAAACAACTCAACCAGACTGCTTTGATCTAGTGCAGTTAAAATCCACAGTAAAGTACTTACTCAGCCTTATGATCATATACTCAAGGTTGTCTCTTTCTTTCTGCAAATTGTCCTTCATTACAGTCAGGTTGCTGTAGCTTGTAGTCAGATTCCTGATGTCCACCTGCAACCTGTGATTGACTGTAGTCAGGTAGTCATTGGATTCCGTCAGATTGCTGTAGCCTGTAAACAGGTTTCTGAAGTCCACCTGCAACTTGTTTTTGGCAGTAGTCAGGTTGCTGTAGTTCTCTCTCAGTTGAACCAGCTCCTTTGTCAACTTCTGAGAACTGCCATTGTCTTTGGAAAGAAATATTAATTTACTGTACTTTATATAAACATAAGAACTGTCTCACAGAGCTGTTATGTCATATTTCACTCTCTGCGTTGTGGTATGGTTCAACATCTCTCATAATTCCCTCTGGGAGCATCTAGATTGATGAGACAGGAGTAGTTTTTAATCTTATAAGCCTATAACATTATTCAGTTGTTGAATAATCTCTCAGCACTGCTTGTATATCAGATCTGTGTCTGTCTGCTTGGACTGATTACTGAATATGAGCACAAGCGAATATCTTAAAAACTTCAACTAAAATGTTATGGGACTACCTCATTCTCTCTACTGTTCTGTAAACCAGAACTGCTAATGTTACTATGTTAGTATCAGTGGATGATAGGTTTACAGAAGAAAAAGACCACCACACAGTATTTAGTCCAGTCTATGACTCCAGAGTGTACTCCAAAGTTAGGAATGCATTCAATGTCTATTTCCTTGACAAGACAGCGATACCCAACACATTAAAACTTTAATCGGGTAAACTGCAGCTAAAGACATGCTGTTATACTCACAGTAGATGCTTAGGGCTATAATGGCAATCAGTAAGACAGCACACAGCAGCCCCAGACACACTGCAGCCAGTCTGTAGGGAGTAGGGCTGAGCTGAGCTTTCACTGCAGACAAAAAAATTCAAGAGAAATACTATTGTGTCATAAGTGGAGTTCCACAAGGCTCAGTGCTGGAACCATTGGGATTTCCCTATAGAAATGATAGAGTACCAACTGAAAATCTAGTAAAGTACTGGTGCACGTAACTGGCTCAAGATAGTGTGCAGAGCCAGAAGGCACAGTTCGATTCATTGTTTGTCAGGAAAGGGTCTGACCAGGAAGGCAAGATACACAAGAGAAAGCCAGGGGCTTAGGAATCAAGTGCTAAGCAAGGAGGTACAATAGCTAAAGCTGCTTGAAATAACCTGGTGGAACAAGGTACTGTAAGTGCTGATGTAATTACATGCCAGTAGCATTGATAATTGATAACCTGCCTGATCGTGTTGTCAAGGGAACAAGTTAATAATTAGTAAGTTGATTGATAGCCCGACTGCTGGCTGTGATTTTTCGGATACGTGAATCAGCACTTCTTTGAGAGCAGGTATTACAATTAAACTGTCTTGAAAGGAAGTTAAATCCACCTCAAATTTCTGATAGTCTGACAAGCAAACAATTACTATTTCATTGTAAGAAAAAAAAACTATGACTGACCTGGTGCTCCAGGAGGAGGTGCTGTCTGGGCTGATGGAGCTCTTGCAGTCTTCACCTCTGCATAGGTCACCTCATCCTGTTTCACTGACAGAGAGGGAACCAGAGGTTTCTCTACACAGACATACTGTACCAAACTTGATCACCATGAAATCAAATATGACAAATCTGTGCTGTTTTTTCCCACACAACAGCACTTTACAAAGCCTTCAGTATGTTCAGAATACAGTCACCCATGTTATGATAAAGTCTTGATCATATTATTCTAATTTCACCAATTATATGTTGAATTTAGAGTCAATTCTTAATTTAAATGGCTCCTTTCAACGCTCCCGATTGACGTATTAGTTTGTATTTGGATTTACACGCCTGTGTAGCTGACTTTCTGGCTCTGTGGAACAGTTGTTCTCTGATAGCACTCCCAGAAACTCTGCCAAAAACTGCAAGAAATTCAACCCCTTCCCATTATGTTCAAACTCATCTAAAGGCCAGTCTAGATTAGATTTTTGTTACACCTGCACTTGTGATATTGAATTTGACATTTATAAGAGTAGAGTTGCAGATCCAATCTTGTTACAAGAGAACGCATTTAAGAGTTTAGAGAAGAGGATCACTAAGAGTTCACTTGTGACATTGTTCACTTCCTGTGAAAACCACAGGGGCCACAGGTGGCATTGTACGACCTTTTACAAATTTACTTTTTTTATATGAAATGAAGTGCGATGCATTTAACACAGTACGCTCCTTTTACAAAAGGGAAAGAGTGACAGGCAGTTTCAGTCTTATTCTCCCTTGATGTCCATCACCATAACAACATTCAAATGTCTGTTTGAGAACTTCCACAATGATCACATGCTTGGAAATATTACACACCAGACAAGTTTGATGTTTACTGAGTTGCACTGCTGAGGCACTTAAAATAGAGCTGGCCAATGCTACATTGTACTGGACTCTTACTTTTACTTCCTATTACTTTTCACTTACTTTTACCTTCTGGTATCAAATCTCACCTGATACCAGTTTTTTTTTACTGCAACAGAAAAAAAGTAAGTTTTCAAAATGGTTATCTGGCACTGGTTTTGTTTAGGATGAAAAAATGTCTTTGCCAACGTGGAACAGATAGTAACAAATCTCCACTGATATGACAAGCCTGGGATGAGCATCTCCTTCAGCTTGTTAAGGTCTCCACCCCTTCAGCCATCATCTTATTCCTGGTGAGGGTTGCAGCAATCTAGAGCTTATCCCAGAAATGTTGGGTGAGCATGTGTGATTACAGCCTGGATGGCATGCCAGTTAGTAGCAGGGCGAACACACACAGGAACAACTTAGAGTCACTGGTTAGACTAGACAGCATGTCTCTAGGTAAAGGGAAGAAACAAGAGCAGAGCCCACAGCGCATGGACAATGAAGGACAGAGAGAGAAGAATACGAACCCTTCGGCCAGTGAGCACTGCCTGGAAACAAGGTATAGGACAGCGACAATGGATCGAGACTCACCGTGTGTACCGCGACTGGGGCTTTTGGAAAAAGTCACAGTGGAATAGCAAACGTCCTCAGACATTAAGGCTGATACAGTCGCACACACTGACAACAGAACAGAACAGACTGAGCAATCCAGCCTGAGATGGCGACTCTCCTGACTGATCAGAAAGGACTGACAGAGATTAACACAGAAATAGAAACAGGAAGAGAGAAAGAGTGGTAGTGTTCAATTTGTTTGTGGTTGACACATAATAACACCCTTTTTTCCCTCTACACTTGAGACTTATCTGCTTCTCCTTTTTACCACAGCTGTTACTTTTACCACAACAAACAAAAATAATGGCGCCTGAGTACAGTTACCTGGGTACCAATTCAGGGTGCAGTGCCAAGGCCTCTTCTATTATGTTCACTACAACAAAATACAGAGACTGTGGAAAATAATGCCGTGGAAAATTGCCACAAGGTAACACAATTAGTAAGTAAGAGATTTCTCAATAGCATGACCTCAGTAAACAGTAAAAAGGGGAAATTACATTTACAATTAGAGTAGAAGTAGAATTAGAGTTAATGAAATCCTAGCTTAAGAGAACAGGACAAAAATTACATTTTAAAAGAAGCCCAAGTACAGTAAAGTAGAACAATCTTGATGCATCTGGGCCTTATTGTGAATGGTATAGAATGAGCCTGAAACACAGTCTAATTGCACAGCTCCACCCAGTTTCCTCTCATGCACAATGAGAGGAGGTGGAGTTAAAGAAGGGCAAGTGTTCTGTGTCGTTTTGGTATCATATCATCCCGCCTCTTTTCTACAAAAAGCATAAAGCTGATCTCAAAAGTTTGTTTTTCCAATATTATTCATTAACTTTGAGAAAGCACAATACCTTGACCAAGTGTAATATTTAAGCCAGTCTGAATAATACTCTTTTGTAATCATTTGAGATGTCTCTACAAGTTTCGGCAGGCTTCTTGTCTCCCCTTGGGGTGTTCAGACATCACTCGTTGTGTTTCACCTAAAATGAACATTTTGTAAATAAAAAAAAGACATATTTGTTCGTGCTGCAATGTGAAACTCTTCTGTAAACATTTCTGTAAACGCCAGAATTCCTTCTGCCGTTCCCATCATCACTCACATCGTCAATAGAGACAAAACTATTCCAGAGAAGGA